TCTCTCTCTCTCTCTCTCGATTTCGCTCGAACGGCCCCTCGAAATAATTCGGAAACCGGGATTACGTGTCGGGAACAGATTCGGAGCAAGGGAAACGAGGAATTACGGGGGAACCGGAGCGTAACCACTTTTGCTCGCTGAAACAGTCTCCCCTTTCTTGATCGTCAAGAGTCACTGTTTCGTTCGAGGATGGCAAAGCCGCGAAAGTACTTCGGACGATCGTGCAAATCCCCTGTCATCGACGGACCAGTCGTTCGTTCTCAGTTCTTTCTCGAGATTCTGGTAAATGAGAGTTTAATACTGATACGATTCGAAAACGATCTCCGTCTGATTCTGCATTAAACGAAGCAAACATACCGCACCCTTTGTTCAAATTTTTTTAATTGAACCGAATTTTTTTCAAATGATCCTCCAACAATGAAAAGCTAGGCGGAAACTGAAGAATCGAAGCGACCGCGCGACACGTGCTCGCGGTGAATGATAGCAACGTTTCCACAGAAGTTGTCCGTACTAACCAGACATCGGTTTGTGGCGGATAAATGACAGCCTGTTAGCCGGCAAAAGACTGGAGACGAGGGTGGCTCCCAGGGGTAAATGAGCCCGCTGGCTGGATCGGGAGCGCGAGGGTCGGAGGGGGTTACAAACGATCGGGCGAATCGCCGGCATTAGTCTTAGTCAGAATCAGAGATAAAGCAAATGAGGGATAGCGGTGCGAAAAACATTGGCCGGTGAGTGGCCGGCTGGATATTATTCAACAGCTGCAATCCGGTCGAATAATCTGCCTCCGCGTAGCCGTCTATTACGGGTCAGAAAGCGTAATAATCGATAATTAAAGGGACGTTAAAATTGGGAATGAGCGACGTGCGTGTCACTCTCGAATGAAAGCGGCGCGGTGTCCGCGTGAAAACGCTTTGCGTTCTCGCTCCGGTGGTGAATGGCGTACGAGCGGTCGAAACGTACGCGATGACGACAGCAAAACTGGCACGCTCGAAAGGTAATATCAATCATCAGCGAAATCGCTGTCTCGTGAGTAATAGTATTAAGCGCATCGCGATCTTCTCTCTCGCGACTGCAAGACACAAATCCCGCGATCCGGTCTTAATAAATTGAATTCGAGCCCCGCCGTTTTTCACTTGGACCGCGTGATTTTTCTCCTCGGCCAACTTGTATTTACGATTCAGATGGTAAATGGAATCGACGATTCTACGAGCAAAGATTCACATCCTTGTGTGTGTCTCTCCTCTCCCTGTGTTTCCCGAAACGACTACAACAACTCAGGGCCATGTTTGTCATCTTTCCACCGATCGAGAAGAAACGATCTCAGTTGTCCCGTGCAATTGGAGAGAAAGGGCTGCTGTGGCCGTAATTCGTTCGAAACAAAGTTCCTCGGCCTACCCCCGGTCGCGTCGCAGCGGAGGAGCAGGGAGGCATGCGGGTAAACGGATCGACAGCGGACGGCCCATCAATTCGAAGCACTCCGCAAATAACGTCATAAGATAGACCATCGGGGGACGTTCTTCCGCGCGTTATATACCGGGTGTATAAAATATGAAGGGGAGTCTGGAAACGACCGGCGTTCTCGTACAATAACATTCGCGGATCTCTGGGAGCACGTCTCCCTCGAAGATGGAGGGAGAGAAAGAGAGAGAGAGAGAGAGAGAGAGAGAGAGAGAGCAGCGAGCAGGCTCTGCGGAGGGAACAACCACGGATAAAAGGGGGAGGAGAAAATAGCAGAGGTGAGCTATCGGCGATTCCCGGACATAAATCGACGTGTACTTACCGAATTGCTTCCGAATCGTTCCTTTATATCCCGTACTCCCCGCAAACGTATCCTCGAGCTCTTCTCTCCTCTATCTATGCTGCTCCTCGGAATCCACCGATCCGTTGTAGACACGAACGACTACACGTCCCGTTACACGGTACCTCCTTGTCGCGGATTAGCCCGATCGATCTGTCAAATCGCTCTCACGTCGGTTTTACCCTGCCCTTACCACTCGTGCCGTTTTCTCGCTCGCTTGTTTGGACAGATATTTTCAAGATGATAGCACGGGAGGATGCGCTAGGACCGGATTCTTGGAAACTGGTTACTCGCTACTCGATTTCGAACGGCGAAACCAACGAGATTGGATTCTCGGGAAATGTATTTCTTCTTTCTTTTGTATCGGCCGAGTCTTTGTTATTCTTTTGTTACTCTTCGACTACGTCGGAAATCTGCAACGTCGAATCGAGAGATCGAAACGAGGGAAGAATTCATTACGCGAGAGAAAGACGGATGCGTCGCAGGCAACGGGTCGAATCGTATGAAATAGAATTAAATCGAGTCGGCGCGCGGCGTTGGCGCTGCACGGCCAAGTTTTGCCGCGGTGGTTCAAAGGAATTTTTTTCCCTCCCCGGCCGCAGTTCGGCTATCCGCCAGTCGTAGAGCACCGAATAGCAACATTGCGATCGCTTTGCAGGGGAACAGTGATTGATTCGTCCCTGGTAGCTGGAAATGCAACCGGTGAACGTGTATATACGCATACCATCGCGAGGCAGACGCGGTCGCACGCTCAGGATTCCTGCCCCGTTGAAATGAAACTTCGCCGTGGCGTCGACATTCCCCCGGTGCCTTTATTAAATTGGAATTTAATTGCTCGGCCTCGGTGCTCCATTACACCGTGTGTATTCTCTGCTGTGCCGATGCAAATCATACGATGCACGCGCGTGTCGCGCCACGCTAACTTTACTACACTCTGGCACCGCGACTCGCATACCTCCTCGTTTACGCACTGATTTTTCTCGATTAACTACGTGTTTGTAGAGTGCCGGGCGAAACAAGGGTGGCCATGTGGCCACCGATGAAAGCGCAGACATTTTTAATAAAATCTCCCGCTGTTCGCGATGCATTTCGTTCCGTGACGGCAAATACGCGGAACAATGGAATACAATTGAACAAAGCGTCGACTAAATTACGAAAAAGTCTGCACCGACTGCCCGCCGACTCTGACTTTTTTTTTTCTTTTCTCTTTTCTTCCCTTTTCTTTTTTATTGCCTTCCTTTATTTCTTCTATTTCATCTTTCCGTTATTTTGTCTTTTTTTTTTCCTTTCTCACCGTGCTCCCTTGCTGGAATATGTATATTTTTAATATAGCCGACGCGCGTTCATTAATTTTGTAAATTTCAATAACGCGTGTTCGTTCGCCCGGTTGTTCTCCTCGAATAGCTCGGTAATCCGTCCGATCTCGGAACAGGAGGTAACAGGAAATATCATACACTCGACGTCGTTGATTTACCGCGTTAATTAAGGAGCACGATAAACTTCACGTGCAATTAACGGCCGAATGGTGTTCCATTCACAATGGCCATAGCCATCCTGGAAATTCTCTGTCAAGAGAGCTTCCTCATTGTCCGGGCTTTTCGTCTCTAATAAGTGTAATAACGACAGGCGATGGGTTTCCAATGTTTTGCTCGTTTCGGATCATTTGCGCGGCTGTCTTGTCCGAGGCACGGAGGGAAACCGGAGGAGTCATTGTGAGACGGAGCCAGCCAATCTCGAGCAACGTGTCAGCAGACTCTCGAACCTGTCGTTCGTCCCGCCTCTCTATTCTACGTCGTCGACGAAAAACCCCGTTGTGGATCCCGCTTGCGTTCACCCTGCTAGGTTAGATCCCTTTCAGCGTGGTTCCCGGTGAAAAAACACCGAGTGACTGGCCGAGACGAACCCCGGTCAGAAGGAAATTTCATTAACGACCTTATCCCGCTTACTTAAAAAAACATGGAACGTCTGAACGACGAGACTACCGGCGGGACCAGCGTAGGCGAATGGGTAGGGAAGAAAAAGACACTGACGAGACAGAGGAAGAAGATCTAAGACATGGAGAGGAGCGGGGAAACGGGGCACTTAAGGTTCACAGAGACTTCGAGGAAGGAATTCGACGAAAGAAAGGGAATTACAGGCGAACGTTCCGTAACGAGGATGAAAACCGAGGATTAGGCGGCGACGAGCTATAGACAGGATATAGACTGTAGAAGGCTGAGACTAAGGGTGAGAGAGAGACAAATAGGGGTAGAATCTTTGGAAGGATAAGAGGAGACGCAAGGGGTTTTAGATAGAGCGATATCACCCCCAAACAGAGTCTTGGAACGTAATCAATGCAGTTGGGTGAACATGTCACGGTGCGGCAACTCGGCAGTAGCAATAGTCCTACTGACGATGGTTGTTAGAATCGTTCCATCATTGTGCAGCCTCGCAATCGACTCGGAACGTCGTATGCGCGTGTCATGGCGGTCCTCGAATCAAAGTGATTGCCGAAACCTATCTCTGATTTCCGAATTCCAGGTTGTCGCGGATAGATCTAACTTTTGACCAGAGCACAACTGCGTATGTGTGTGTGTGTGTCGGTCTGAATACTAGTCGCGTGTAGAATGTCGATGCTGTGCACGGATCTTTCAAGTCTCTGGTATTTATAAACTCGGGGGGAATGCGATTTTAACGCACCTAGACATTAGGATTGCAATCGCGATGACTTCGAAACATCTTATTCGCAGTTAGGAGCCACGGAAAGGGGTTTGTCACGAATACAGATATTTCGTTTGGACAGCGTGAGAAACGAAAAATTGGAAATTAAAGGGAAATTGATGTACGTAAGGGAGATTCTTCCACTCCTGGAGGGGATCAAATGCAAATAGCCAACTTTGTCGAGTACGTCATTGTTTTGTAACCGGCGCTCTTGAACGACCCGCGCCTGGGTGATGTGGAACGGCAGCTATTGCTCGGGCACGGTAACCTGGAGGAAAAAGATGATTCATCCTGGAAAAATTCAAGCTTGCACATTTTCGAGCGCGTTCATGGCCGGAGTCAGGATTGATGAGCTCGCGTCCGCCGCTGGTGGATCGCGCCACCGCGTGTGATCGACGGTCAGCTGCGGCTGAAGAGGAAAGCGCGATTTGATAAAGAGCGTCATTTTTATTTGCTCATCCGGCGATATGGTATTTCTCGCGCGCGATCTCTACGCGGTTCCAGATAATCCTCGCGCGGTGTGGTCCGAACGGTGGTAAATGCGTCGTCATCGATTCTCATTATCATTCGTTTTGAAGTCACGTTCCTGAGGAGAGGCGTGAGATCGATGAATATACCTCGCGAGAGAGATGGATCGATCGAAGATGTTACGAAACCGTGTACACTTTACTCGAGTAAATATTTCATCTGAAACTTCGCGGTCACGTTACGAGGCAATTGCGTATTTCCACGGTGGAAAGATAACATTTCCGCGAAATAAAATCTTAATCAAGACAAATACGCCCGTCTAACTGGGAAACACGATCGAAGCAATTTAAAATATGATTACACGTTTTTGTCCGCGCGGAGAATGCCGCGTGACGGTGATACACGTAATTTGTACGAATAAAAGTTGAAGCTTGGCTGCTGTGACGAACTCGCCGTGACAAGATTCGGGCGTTTCATTTAGTAGATGAATTGCGCGCCGGCGACTGGCCGCCATCATTATAAATCACGACATAATTACACGACCACCGTGGCAGGGTGCAAGTGGTATCCCTCCCCGCACTCTCTCTCTCTCTCTCTCTCTCTCTGGTTCGTTCTCTGTTGTCGTTACCCCTACTTACTCCATACCCCTGTTTCGCTCTCATAGTCTCGGCACACTTGCGTACACGAGGGTTGGTATGCGTGTGCATCCCCCCGTATATAAATGTTTGCGGCATGTTGCGTTCAATGTATCTGACCTCAGTCGGTTGGAATTCTGTCGTGCAGCTTTACCGTCTACTTCACAACCCTGCGTCCCTTTTCTCCCCCTCCCCCTCATACCGTTCGTCGGAGTGATTAATACTTGGTGGTGGTACGTTGTTGCGTTCCGTACGCGTCCACGGACGAGCACATTTTTCAGCCGGGCGAAAGATACACGAGGATGCCCGGCTATCTTCCTTGAAATTTTTCTTTCTTAAACAATGGAAGGATTTTCTTTTCGGGGCGGGAGCTGTTTCAACGGTGGCGAAAAACTCTCGCGAAATGTATTATCACGTTTATTCTGTAAGGTCATACAAGCTATTAAATATTTACGTTGGTCCCTCGAAATCGTATTACGTAAAATTCCAGGTCTCTCGTGCGTTCCATGTTTCACCGTCCACGCGAATTCAACATTGTCGTCGTCGTCGTCGTCGTCGTCACGAAGTCAAACATTTCCTCGGCCGCGTGTAATAACATTTACATATTTCCGCGTTCAAATTATCCCGTTCAGAGGTGCTGCAAATTTGTCCGCGGTGTTCCGTGACGCCGCCTATAAATCATCGTGGCCCAACAACGCGACCGTACGGACCGAAAGTCACCAGAGTACCCCATCGATCCTACGGATCGGTAGATTCGATAAGGATCCATAACGAGCAACGAATCCACCCACGTCGAATCAGACGTCTTGCGTTCTCTCGGCACGCAGGAAATTCGCGTAACGAACACGCGAGTACCGCTATTTGTATGCATATCTCGACGATACCTGTCTCCGATAACGATCGTTCATCGTTCATCGTTCAACGTGTATCTCGCGTTCGACAAGCATGCTCGAGTACCAGAGAGCGCAGAGAGCCGCGTTCATCCCGATCGGGAATATCTTTCTGGTACGCGAGAGAGGAAGAACCGGCTACGTATCGAGCTTGGTGATGCTGCTGGTCGTTGTCGAACGATCGTTAAGAGAAACACCTTGTGCGCCATGCCGCGCCACGCAGCACCGCAGCGTGATACTTTGTTTTACTTTCTTTCCGTTGGTGGCGATGGGTTCGCCATCGGTTGTACCCCTGCCTCCAGGGAATGGACTACCTATCGCGAGTCCCGATGTACCTCGTTCCAGTGTATATCTTCCCGACACGACGTGCCATGAAGATATTATTGGCACTTGGACGGCTACCACGTCTCGTACGTTCCTCTCGTCTCCGTTTTGTCTCCGCGGAGTGTCCCCGGTCGGCGCGGAGGTCGTACGTGTCTCGACCCGCGGGGTATTCGAGCATACCCGTGACATAACCGGTACCTGTACTGCCTATCGCGAAGCTACTGATCCGTAGAGGAATTCCAGCAGGTATACACCCGATGCTGAGATGACTGCGACCGCATCGTGGCCGCATCGCAATGAAACCGATCGACTCGTGGTTGTTTTCTTCGCTCACGGACCTTGTCGAATATTCCGCCCTCTTTCTCTGCCGGATCACGATCCACGTACTCGAACGATTTATTGTATTATCCCGGGCTTCGGATGCTAATGCGGCCCGTAGGAAATTTTTATGTAAATACCCCGTACGCTCGTCGCGACGTTCC